GTGCTCTTGCAGGTTATTTATGTAAAAGACATGAATCTGATTATTTTCCCCTTTCTTCAACTGAATTAAATAAACCAAGGAAAATGAAAAATCTCAATATGAACTTGGTATTTTATGAAAGATGAATCATGGATGAAATAATACATCTCATATCTAATCACTGCAATTGAGACAACATAAATTAATATTTAGTAATACCCACTCAAAATATTTGTCAGAAATTTCTGTACAGAAAGTGGGATCAAGACTAGAAGTAAAAATAAGTAACAAAAAGGAACGAGAGTAAATTTTTCCAACATGCTCATAAAAGTCTAAGAACATCTAAGCATGCTTATACGCAATCCCGACCGTGTTCCTAGACACACAGTGGGTTTTCTGTTTGTCTTTGTTTAGTTTTAAATGAAACAGTTTCTAATGGTAAAAGTAAATTTTACTTAGTCAATACAACTGAAGTAGACTGAGTCCTACTCCTGGATCTAGTCACAAAAATTTTCTTAAAGTTACTTTTCCAACTTCCTTCAAATGACTCTGTGGGCTTAGTAGCAAGCTATTGGTCTTACGTTCTCAGTTCTGTTAGAGCCCTTAAAAAGCAGCAATACCTGCTCTCCATTTCTCACAATATTGTGTCCATTTGGAAAACTGGGAGGCAAACTGGAATAAGTACTAAGCAAGACGCTTACAAAGTGACTTTGGGTTGAGGTTTTAAGAGGAAGGGAAAGAAAAAAAAGCCTCTTATTTTTTACATCACTCTGCTACAACATACATTTGCTGCCACAAATGTAGGATAAGCCCAGTCCTCGCTCACAGCTGTACTCATCTTGAGATCGGAACAATTTCACTGCTGAAGGCAACTTCAACATTTCTTTTTCCAGATAAGAAAACTCAGGCTGTCAGATATTAAGCATGGATTCCTGTTTGTAAAACTGTCTCTCTATTCAAAGAATTTATTTAAAATAAGGAAAATCGTCTTTTAGAACAAGTAATAAGCAATGTCAGGCATGTGGCCTCCTTACTCTGCTATGTGACTGATCCTCACTCTCTTTCCTTTCTGCCTCTCACATACCTACTACCAGAGCCTGACCACAGGTTCCATTCAGGCAGACTGGCTAGTTTCTGGGCTTTCCCATTAGATCTCTTTCCTTGCTTTCTTTTTTCCTTTTTCTTTTTCTTTTAATGTTTTTATTGATTTCAGGGAGAGGAAGGGAAGGGGAGAGAGAGAGAGAAACATCAATGATGAGAGTCATTGATCAGCTGCCTCCTACATGCCCCCTACTGGGGATCGAGCCCAAAACCCTGGCATGTGCCCTGACTGGCAATCAAACCGTCACCACCTCCTGGTTCTTTGGTCGATGCTCAACCACTGAGCCATGCTGGCCGGGGTCCATGCTTTCTTTTAAGATTTGTCAATCAAACCCCTCTGTTGGTAGATTCTATCAAACCCTGTTCTGGGGCCCATTCCATCTTCCTCAGGGACATTTCTCTGGAGCTCTCAAGCACCACCTCAGCTTACATTTTATTTTTCTGTTTGCTTTTTCTCTCTCATAGAAAACAAACATACCTATCATATTCCATAGTAGGAAGCTGAGCTAGATTTAGCTCCCCCTCTAGACTGAGCTTGCGGGGGCCGGGTTCATGGCCTAATTGCCTTAATATTCCTAGTGGCTGATGCACAAGAGACACTCAGTAACTGCTAGGTAGATGAAAAAGCCACAGCTCAAACTTGGTAACAGACAAGAAGTACTTTAAAGTTGCCAAACAAAAATTTAACAAAACTGAATTAAAGTGCTGGCTTGTTCTATGCTAAAAAAAAAAAAAAAAAAAAAAAAAAAAAAAAAAAAAAAAAAAAAGAAAACAAGTCAGAAGGAACTGAGATGATCTGGCTTAAGTAGAATGCTGAGGAATGATATGGTGGCTTCATAAGGGGTTACAAAACAAACGAGAGACGGCCACCTGTGCATCACCATTACTGACAGGACAGAGGAAATAGATGTATTCCCATGTTAAGCATCATCAAACATTCTTTGATAATGAAGTTTCTGAGAAAGGAAGCAAGGCCCCGAGGAAGGATGAACTCTGATCCTTGGAGATTTCTGAGAACAGGAGACGGACCCTCCTACAGTTTGCAGTAGGTTAGGTGCAATTTTCAATTGAAAAAAGAGTTGAAACACATGAGCTCTCAAGGTCACTTGCAGCCTTTTCTCTTTGCCTGAGGAGTCAAGAGTTTCCACCTACTGAAATTTCTATTATTCTATATAAATATAAAAACTAACATCAAGGAGTGAAAGTAGAACTGGTATCCAGAGGCTATACCTCCACAGAAACAGAGACCAAAATTACTCAAACCACTCCTGTCGCAACTTGGACGAAACTAGAAAAAAGCTTTAAACATCACTACAAGGGATCATATAATTCCAAAGCCCCAGGTTTCTGCAACTCTAATTTTAAAATGTTTGGTTTATAAGCACAGAAGAGAAAAGATCAGATCCATCACTGATTTCCAATTATTTCCCGACACAAAATAGGGATTTTGATTACAGTGCATTAAAAATAAAGAAAATAAGTGACCAAAAGCATGGACAGTACAAAAAAAATATCTGGACACTTACTGAAGCCCATGGCATGTTGACAATGCAACAAATGAGGCAGAGTTTCCTCGGATGTGGCCCTGGTAGTAACAGTGCTCTCCTCCCTGAAAATAGAAATAGAGAACGTCAGCCTTTGCCGTCACAAGGAGAATCCACTGCATCACTGCACAGGCTTATGCCACACTGCGCTTCCATATGTCAAGCTCTGCACATTTTATTATTCAGATCAGTATTATCAAGCCATTTCTAACAGAATTATTCATAAGCACTCCCAGTGAGCTGACTCCAAATCAAAAGACAGGGAATTAAAAGTTGACTTAACTCTCCCTTTACACAGGTGATGACAGAAGGAACAAGAAACAGATACTGAAGTACCCACGTGGCTCTTGCACCAGAATAAGTTCAATTATCGATTTCCCTGGTCACAAGACACTCAACCTGGAGCAGCAGCAAGATGATGCTTTCACACAAAGCTCAGCAAAAATGCATATAAATCACTTGAGAGTCATTAAACTAAACTAATGGAAGAGAATGCCTATTTTTAGTGTTTCTATAAAAACTTGACAAGTTTATACTATTCTTTTCTCCAACAAGAATAGCTTTTTACTGGTAAGCAGTCTACAGTAGGGTTTGAAATTGAGAAGTTTCTTCTAGCAGCATTACTACATTCCACTGAGAAACTCATTTCCTCGAATTAAATGTTCCTGGAAAACGTAACAGGGTAAATCCTCTGCCATCTTAGGGTGGTACCTCAGTTTTTAAATACTTGCTACTCATTGCGTGGTCTAGAACCCAACAGCACTGACATCACTGGGAGCTTGTCAGAAATGCAGGAACTCAGGCCCTACTCCTGATCTTCTGCATCAGAATGGGCATCTTAACAAGGTCCCTAGATGACTGATTCATATGCACATTAAAGCCTGAGAAGCATTGCTCTAGATGACCTTTCCCATGCCCCCCCCATCTCCTATTTCTTCAAAAGCTGAAAACTTTTTTTTTTTTTTTTTTTAATATACCTTTATTGATTTCAGANCCTCTAGATGACCTTTCCCATGCCCCCCCCAATCTCCTATTTCTTCAAAAGCTGAAAACTTTTTTTTTTTTTTTTAATATACCTTTATTGATTTCAGAGAGAGGGGGAGAGTGTTGAAACATCAATGATGAGAGAGTCGTCATTGATCAGCCACCTCCTGCACGCCCCCAACGGGGGATCAAGCCCGCAACCCAGGCATGTGCCCTGACTGGGAACCGAACCACCATCTCCTGGATCCTAGGTCGATGCTCAACCAGTGAGCCACGCCCAGCCAGGCAAAGCTGAAAACTTTTAATTAAACTGATCCACTAAAATATGAAAGAGTGAAATAGGACAGATTAATAGAATGGGTGGCTTCAAGGAGCAAATGTTATCTACTTCACAATTTGGCATAAGGACTAACCCCACTTAAAATATTCAGTGCTTGACAAGCGGAGGGGAGAGAACTTGGGAAGATACAATGATATTACAAGGCTGAAGACATTTTCTTCCCTCAAATTCCAAGGAAGGCAGCCTGGCCTGAGATTGCTGCTCCTAGTGATACAATCCCCCAGGATGGAGTGAATCTGTTTTGATGAGAGGACAGAGAGCAGGTAAAATGGTACACAGTGCAATCCCTGACCCTGACAATTCCAATTCCCAAGGCATGATTGAGCATATGGATGGAGGATTATGGCTGGATTTGATGGAAGATAAAATAGGACAGTACTTCACCCCTGGGTCCCACAGGGGTAGGACTCAGAAGGCCACAGACTTAAGGATAGAAACAAAGGTGGACACTGGCTTCTTGGGTAGGGTTGGTTTGTTGTAGCTGTTAACAGTATAAGCTATCAGCTCCTTCACCTATTAGCTGTGCAATCTCAGGCACCATCTGTCAAATGGTGGTAACACGCTCATAGGGTTGTTCAGAGGATTAAAGAGCTAATAGGCATAAAGGGCTTAAAAAATGGCTTGGTACTTGGTACAGGCTCAATTAATGTTTGCTGCTATTATAATTACTTTGTGTCCGTGATTGTCCTATTCAATTGACACACACAGTCACTTTAAATCCTCTCATTAATCCTACAATATTATCTCTATCCTACATAAGAAGTCACAATCTCTGTGAGCCAAGGTTGGCCACATGGTAAGTTGCCAAGTAAGGGTGCAAACTTTCTGTAAACATGTGAATGCAAGGCCAGTGTCATTGTCCCTAAATACTACTTATGAGTTGGACATAAAGCCTGTGGGTAATATACTGCAAATCTAAGCTTTCCCTTGGGCTGATTTTTTAAAATTTGTTTTTTGAGTGGGGCTGGAGGTAAATTTAACAGAATTTAAAATATCTTCTATTGGGGCTGTTAGACTGATGAATTATCCATACGATTAGATTCTAACTGAACGAGAGATGTTTATGTTTAAAAACCTTCACTTCCTGGACACATCTGATTGGATCAGAAATTAACACTCTAGCTTTCTATTGGCCAACACAAAAGACCAACAGTCAATGAGGTGACCTGAACAGAGAGAGACTTATCTAAAAGTGTAGGTCTAAGACACACAGTAAATAAAAAGACAGTAGAAACACAGAAGATAATCACAATAATTATGGTATCAGACTAGGGAACAAGGTAGTTTATAAGTCACTGTATGTGGGGAAAATATGTCAGAGGCAAAGGCATATAAAAATGTTTTATAAATTACAAAAGTTTTCTTTAAAATACCACCTCTGGAAACATGTTATATTAAATCATAAAAAGGAAAAAAATTCATGTTTTAAAACAGTGTTCCATTATCTTAGGGCAAATAGATGATTAGATCATGGAAAACCATCTTTCACTAATTTCTGATTATGAAAAACAGGAGTCAATCCAAAAACAGCATATGATCAGGACCCATCTGCACAAAAGCCTAACACTTCAAATGAAGTGAAGAGCCCAATATGGTTGATTCATTATTGAATGTTTCCATGACACTTCAAGAAGAGAACCATAAACATGTGTGTGGGGGGGGGACCTCCTTAATTTGGACTATTATAACACAGATTTTGAGGCTCTCATATACCGGTGTCATATGTAATTTTTCTAAATAATGGTGGAAATTAATTTTGTATTTTGATTTTTTTCAGGGATTATTCATCATAAATCAATAATTACTTAAACTAAGAACTAAAGTAATGGAGCTTTTTTCCCCCTTTAACATGCCTGAAGTTTTCTTAGTGCAGGATAAAGGCCTTAATGTCAAAAGGCTTCTTTAATTATATAAATATATTTTAAAATTATTAAAATAAAGAAATTTAATATTTTTAATAATTATTTTAATCTATTATTTAAAAAGATAATAAATACATATGGAAAAAATTATAAGAATTCCAGAGGTACATGGTACAGAAGAATAAAAAATATCCCCTTCATACACATTCCCCCAGCTGCAGGTGCCTCCTTAAAGGTAAGCTTTTTGACAGATTTTGTGCACCATCAGGAATAGTCTATGCACATTTAAGTAAATATGTATATACGTAAACACAAAGATATCCTTTTCAAAGCACAAATGGATTTACACTATGCACAGTGTTCTGCCACTTGATTTTTTTTCCTTAAGGTAATCTTGACATCTTTCTATATCAATACCTCATTTTTTGATGATGGCATAATATTTCATTACAGAAGTGAATGATAATTCACTTAAACGGTCCTGTACTAATGGAAATTTAGATTATCTCTATTTTTCTGCTGTCATAAATGACACTGCAACAAACATCCTTTCATATATTTTTGTGCACTTCTATCAGCATATATATGTCGGTTAGATTTCTAGATGTAGATCTGGTAGGTCAAAGAATATGTGCACTGAAAATTTTAATAGGTATTTTAAGGGACAAATATAATTATATTTCTTTGCACTTACATCTGTTTTACAAAATGTACATTTGAAAATAATAAACTGCATTTTATTTAAAATTGTATATTTCTATAGACCACTACTTAGGCCAACTTTCCCAAGTATTATCAATTATAAAGGTTCTCCATATCTTCATATGACTTTCTTGATGAACTAATGCTTTATGCTAGCAGGTTATTATATATAATAATCTAAGACAGATGTTGTAGGAAAAGAGAAAAGCCAGCAGCACATCCTAATAGTCTAGCTCTTTATCTGAATGTCCCTGAAACTTTCTTCATACTCCTTGATTTAATAACATAGTTATAACAGTACAGATGTTTACTTTTAGCTAATTAGTTATAGCTAAAAAAAATTACCCTCCTCTATAAAAATAACCATATGATAATGATAGTTCATATGTGTATTAGTTTCTCTTCCCAGTGGACAAAAAGTTTATTGCAATTTTTATTCTGGGAAATCAAAATAATCACTTACTTGCAAAAGTCAAAGACACACCCTACTTTTATTAAACAGTCAGGAAGATCTCAAAAGGAAAACACAGTTTATTATAAGTATGATAAAATGATAGCACAAAGGAAGTACCAGACTGAGTTATAAAACTATGAAAATCCAATAAAGAGAACCAATGGGAGCGCAGCAACAAGGCCATAGTCATTTGAGCTCCATCCAGATCTTCAAAGGAAACTACAACTTTATCAGCTCCAACATGTGCCAAGGCCACCTCCTCAAAAGAGCCTTCTCAGATTCCTTCCTCCAGACAAATTACTTCTCACTAGTCCCTCTTTCTCTGAATTTGCATATATATATTTTTAAATCTGTGTTACCTCTTTTCACACATACATTCCTGTTTCTCTTCTGTGCTCCTCAATAGACTGCGGTTTCCTTCAGGGAAGCATATGTGCCTTATCTATGTCTGTATTCCCCAGGGTGCTGTTAGAGAGAACCTCCCTAAATCTCAGTTTCCTCACCAATAAAGTGGGGATAATATCTACCCATGCTGCTTCACAAAAGTATGCAAGGTATTCCATGAGATAATAAAAGTCCTGTAAACTGCTATAAAAATAGGTCAGAGGTGCAGTCATGGAATATTTACTCAATGAGGGATTGATTCTATCCTGTCCCTTGAGCAAAGATTCTCATCATTTATTCGTTAAGACTAACATTTCAGGCCACTGACTAATAATAAAG